GTGGCCTGTTATAAACTAGTCAGGGGAGATCAGCAGGCATTGGGGGATTCCCTGTTCCCCCAAGCACTACCAAGAGTGACCAGGAATAACGGTCACAAGCTGGCAGAAGGTTGGTTGAGGCTAGATATCAGGAGGCGCTACTTCACGGTCAGGGCGGCTAGGATCTGGAACCAACTTCCAAGACAAGTGGTGCAGGCTCCTACCCTGGGGGGTTTTAAGAGGAGGTTAGATGAACACCTTGCTGGGGTCGTTTGACCCCAGTACTCTTTCCTGCCACAGCAGGGTGTTGGATTAGATGATCTACTTAGGTCCCTTCTGTCCCTAGAAACTATGAAACTTGTGTTCCCTCAAGGGTTAATTATTTGTGCTTTGCAGGTCTCGGCTGCTGCTCGTGCTGACAAAAACCAACCCAGCCCAGCCCACCCCCTCCCCACCCAGGCTGTCAAGCTGGAGGTGGAGCCACCTCCTCTCCCCTCCCCTCCCGCACCAGCTGCCCCAGCTGAGGTATTGAGGGGTCCCCATTCCACCCTGCCGTATCCTCCCCAGCTCTGGCTAAGCAAAGCCCAGCCAGCAGCTGCCTGCTTCCTGCTGCTCCCTCCCCCTCCCGCTCCCTGTCCTGCTGACAGTGCCAGAGCTGGGGGAGGGGGCAGGAGCTGGGATGAGAAAAGGGGCAGTTCGCTGGAGCACCTCCACCTGCTGGACAGGGCTGATGCAGGCAGGCTCAAGCCCACCTAAAAAAACAGATGAGAAAGTCTGTTGGGTTGGGGGGTGTGGAGAGGGCTCTAACTCATGGCACTTTGTGTAAAGTGCCATAAGTTAGAGTGGGGCCCCTAAATGTCTGTAGGAACCCTGGGTCAGAGCAGCCAGAGCAGCATCTGACAGTAAATGGTATAGGACTGTGGGAAGAGGCAGAGACTTGGGGAAGTTTGGAAGGGAAGAAGCAAAGACTGGAGGGAGTGGGGGGAGGGGGTTCAGGTGTCAGGAAGGCTGCAGGGCGAAGAACTGGTCAGGGCAGAGGGCAATGGACAACCTGATCTCCTCTCTCCCCCACCACTGGCTTCCATGCTGTAACAATGGGAAGGAAGGGAAATTCAAGACAATCCCTCTAATACTTAGCTTCTATACTTGGAAAATTTTAACAAATTTATAAATTTTCCATATATAGAACCTCATTATTAGAGATCATTTTATATTCAGGGTCATCTTACATTGGAGCAAATACAGTATTAAAATACAATCTGAAATTTCTTTTTCTGAAGACTCGTACAGATTGCATGCACAAATGTATACATCTTAATAGTATTTGCATTACATTTTAGTTTGACCTAACACATCTGCTCTGCCTAAAGATTTCAAAAGCACTTATGAATTTCTAGAAGACCTTTATTATAGTACCTTGGTACCAATAAACTTTCTGACTGCTGCAGACCTTCAGTAAAATATTCAAACTCTCTCACAAAACAAGAAAACACTTACCTCCCCAAAGGCTCCTCGGCCAATCACCTTCAAGATTTCAAAATCTTCTTTATGTAGTCTCATCTGTTTCACCTTAGATGTAAAAGGTTTGGCTGAAACAAAGGAAAATATCAATCATTATAAAAGCTAGGTAAGAGTAACAAAATATAAAGCTGAATGGCCCTGAAAATAACAGATCCTTTTGCTCATATACCTATAATCCCTAAAGTAATATTACAAAGAATAAGGCTGGAACAAATGACTAATAAGAACTAAGCCCAAACTTTCAGTTTTCTGTGAAAGGAAATTTATGGAGCACACGTTTTTACAAACAGAATCAAGCTGCCTATATTTTTATATATTTCTTATAAATTCATACAATGATTTTCAATACAGTAGGTATCTAAGCATTATGGACTGCTATCACAGATTATAAAAGTAGAGCATGGGAAAATGAATATCTTACTCTGAAGTGAGAAATGCTAATTTCTACACAAGTCTCAAAATAAATAATCAATATTTCACTCCAAGGAAAATCAAAATGCTGATGAAAAAGTGCTGAATTGATAGCACTGGCTCAGGAATGCCAATCAGCTCACATCTCTTGAGACTTCTCCTCTGAGCAAGAGGGTTGCTCAGTTTATCCATGACCTACAGAACAGACACCGGGATCCCAATTGAACATCAAAAGAAATTATTAGTACAGTTTCCTTTTGTTTTGACCATCATTGTATGTCTCTAATTTCTTCTTCTAAGCCTTGTATTTTTAGTCTTATAGATGGTGACCCAACAGGGATACAACCTTCTACATTCAGGTAATATATGTGCCTTCTATAAAATATTTTCTGTATTTTTTCCAAAGTCAGGTTAATAATAGAATGCTTTTTTAAAAGATTTTTTAAAATCCAGGCATATAACATTTACACAGAGTTTGTGCTAGACATGAATTGGGTGAACAGAAATGTTTCGGCATTTTTTAAAAAAAAACCTCTTTTACATCCCAAATGAATAAGAGAGCACGTGTCCACAAATAAACAGTATAAACACATTTTAAAACAATTATCCATTATGCATCAAGTATTACATATTATGCATTTTGTAAACTTTATTTCTATTTTGTAAGCTTTAGTGATATGACAGTACTAAGAGCATGTAATCATTGCTGAGAGAATTAAGTAAATAAAAATAATATTTAAAAATAAAATCTATTCCACCTTTAAGTTTCTACCAAGGCTTCTGTTAAGAGCTCTGTGTAGCTCTTGATGAACTCACTGTTATCACCCAAAGGGAAATGGATAGTATGCCCATTTCTACATACACCTTGTTTTCACTAGTTACCTGTGCATCCCCAATGAGGTCTGTTGCACTCTTTAGGAAATGTTAGTTTAATTAAATGCTAGTTTAATGAATTTATTCAGGTAATCAAAGAACATACCTATTTGTAAATATCTGCTTTTAAACACAACTTCTTGTCGTAAGAAGACTTCACACAATTCCATTCCTAATGGGGGACCTAATTGTTTGGCACTTTATTGTCCATAAAAGGGAGATAGGTGGGCTACTGAAAAGGAAACTGAACTAGAATCCAGGAGCCAAGCACTGAAGCTATGTCTTGAACCCACATTGTTTGTGTGATCTTGGACAGACTGTTTAAAATAGTGCTTCCCAAATTATTCCTCAGCATGACCCTATTTATGGCCCTGTTTCCCCAGCATGGCCCCTCAGTCCCAACCCACAGCCCCCACCCCTATGACCCCATCTGCTGATGCTGCGACCCCATTTGGGGTTGCAACCCACATATCTTGTGCTCCGTTTCCTTATCTGTAAAATGGGAATAGTACTTACTACCCTACTTCAGAGAGATATTGAGAGGACTGCATAATTACTTAGACAGGCAGAAGATGGCACATGCTCTCAAATGAAGTAACTAAAACACCTTGTTTAAATGTATTTAGGTTTTAAAGGTACAGATAGGTTAAAAAAAATTGGTCAACATTTATGTGATATTTGGGAAAAAATGGCCCATTAAAATATTTTCAGATCCTGTTTGCAGGGTGGGTTTTAAAGCAATTCATCCATGAGCCTTGTTATACAATGCCAAAGTCCCACTTACTGAGGGATTATGCAAGGGTCTGTGTGGACACATTTCTTTGCAGGACTAATAACTAGAACCATGAAGAAAAGTTCTAAGTTGTAACAGTAATTGCTTCCTCAGTATAACAGCAACAACAAGGTGCAGTTGCTCAAATGCCCTATTCTGGTTACATATATGCTTAAACTCGTGCTGGATTCTCTAGATATTAAACATTTGGGCTTTTTGCAGAGATTTACAAAAACAAAAAAATCTACCAACAATTAAATGAACTGATTTAAATGGAAAATGAGTATGTAGGTGTACTAATTATTTAATTCTAAATTAAAATTTTGATATAAAGTTGTAGATATAAAAATATGATCCAGCACTTTAAAAATCCCTTTCCAAAACATGTCTCTCTTTCTAGCATTGATTATATAAAGGAACTCTATAAAATGAAGTCAATATACACAAGGTATATAGTAGGACTAGTGGATTTTCTAACTTGTAATATAAAGGCCTTCTTTCCCCCTCCACAGAAAATGATGTATATCATATACATCAGAGAATAATAAACACAAGGTGTTTAAAAATCATAGACCTTATCACACATGCTTTAATCAAACACTGTGGATTTAAGTGGTCATAGAATCATAGGATCATAGAAGTAGGGTCGGAAGGGACCTTATAGATCTTCAAGTCCGACCCCCTGCCAGGGCAGGAGAAAAATAACTGGGCTCAAATGATCCCAGCTAGGTAGGCATCCAGCCTCCTCTTAAAGACCCCCAGGGTAGGAGCCAGCACCACTTCCCTTGGAAGTTGGTTCCAGATCCTAGCCGCCCTAACTGTGAAGTAGTTCTTGCGGATGTCTAATCTAAACCTACTCTCCAACAACTTGTGGCCGTTATTCCTTGTTATGCCAGGGGGCGCTAGGGGAAACAAGGTCTCACCTAAGCCCTTCTGGTCCCCCCTAGTGAGTTTATAGACTGTCACTAGGTCCCCCTGGTGAAGCATCTAATCTCACATACCAGATATAACACTGACTAAAATCAATAAAATAATACTGTATCTTAAGGGTGGACATCATTAAAACTGCTGTAGAACAAATACCAAAGTTCAAAAATTAAACATAAGACTACACACTCAACCTTGCTTAGATTAAGTAGATGAAAAGATAATCCCAGAAATTTCTCTTTCAGGAATTTTCCCTTCTGGAGAAAAACAGCCACAAACTTTAACCCAATTAAAAATCACACTATTGAAATTTGATAAATAAGCAGATCTATTAAATTCATAACTGCTCCCAAAATCATTTGATACCAACATTCAGCTGATAGAATTGGCATATCCAAAGAAAAGTAGCTCTCATTATATTAATGCATTAAATTGATTCCCATCTACAATGTCTGTGAAAACATTCTTTACATGAATCTTTAGATATTGGAGGGATCCAGGATGCCTGGGAAAACAGACTTTAAAACTTCACATACTTTAAGAACAAACATCAACAATGTCTGTCTATGAAATTCAATTTCTAACAAAGAAATTCAAATGATTCAATTTCAAACGCAATATTAAAGTTTCACTGGAAGAGGCAATTTTTGAGAAACCTTGATGTTTGGCTTTGATACTGAAAGACCGATATTAGTTAATTTCCATACCAGCAGAAACTTTCTTAAGAAATTGGGGGATTTTCACCCACAGGAGGCAAATGTTAAGATTAATTATAGTTTTTGCCCATGCATGCAGTTTCTTATACAGGCAAAATTACTTTGCTCATTAAAGTTACTTTTTGTCTACACTGCAGGATACCCATTTCTTCAGATTTCTGTTTCTCAGATTTGAAAGGATAAAATATTTTTGACAACCCTGAACTTTTTTCACCCTGTCTTCTCACCAGAGCAGAGGGAACTGCCTCCACAAGAGAAGGCTGACGGGGGACCTGGTGACTGTCTATAGACTCACTAGGGGGGACCAGAAGGGTTTGGGGGAGACGCTGTTTCCCCTAGCGCCCGCTGGCATAACAAGGAGTAATGGGCACAAGTTGATGGAGAGGAGGTATAGATTGGACATCCGCAAAAACTACTTCACAGTTAGGGCGGCTAGGAGCTGGAACCAACTTCCAAGGGAAGTGGTGCTGGCCCCTACCCTGGGGGTCTTTAAGAAGAGGCTGGATGCCTACCTGGCTGGACTCATTTGAGTCCCGTTTCTTTTTTTGGGGTTTTGTTGTTCTCCCGCCCTGGCGGGGGGTCGGGCTAGAAGATCTACTAGGTCCCTTCCGACCCTTAATCTATGAATCTATAAACTGGAGATTTACTACCACACAACAGTACATCTAAGCATTTAATGCTATTTGCATCCATGTACAGCTTCAAATCACATGGACTGGACTTAATACAATTTTTTTTAAAAAATCAGCCTTTTCAGTCCCTGGGTATCTGCAAGCAGCTTTGGTGCTGGGCTGCCTACATGCTCTTTAAAGTCCTGGGGCAGGGGGAGCCAAACAGCAGTCCCAGGTTGCTCCTGCCTGGGGAGCATGACAAAGCACACTCCAGCCATGGGGGTTTTAACATCTTGCTGCCCGTAGCTCTATTATCTGTAGTGCTATAAATTTTGTAGTAGTACAAAAATAATGTCTATAAGGAGCCAATGTATCTTCTTTCCCCCGCTACTTTAATTTACACACACAGTGCATGTGTGCATGTTGTGGGATGGGTAAAAATAACTAAAACCAAAATAGTCTTTTGTCAGGTAAGCCTAGATTATATCATATAATGCAATTAGAAAGACTACTTTAACATAAACATAGTGATATGTGTATTCTAATCTTTTTCAATCAACCAAAATACTCCATTAAATTGTTAACTTAAATACCAACTGATTGAAAATAAAGGGCAATTTTTAATATCTTATAGGCGCTGTTAGAGTACAAGGTAAAATATCCTGCTAACTAGACAACTTTCTTAAGTCACAAAAATCACCCTTCCCTTTATATTTTGGGGAAAGGACTGTCATTCTTTAACTATTATATTTTGGAAT